ATATATATATATACACATATATATATATATATACACACATATATACAGTATATACACACATATATATATATACATATATACACATATATAAAATTGTACAGCTGATTAACTAAATTCTGTGGAAACAAAAATGACATTTAAGGTATAAATTATTATTTCATGAATCAGAAGAATTGGAGCTCATTTCTGTACATTTCTGTGAAAACTCAAACAAATGCTATTTACAGATAAAGAGGATAAATTTACTGTTTTACAACACGTGTTACTGTAAAATATTATTTTAACATATTAAAAAAACGTTAACATGAAGCTGATTCAATACAAACAGATTCAAACATAATTGGAATTTAATATTTTATTGTTTTTAAAGAAGCGACTAAAGTGAATTCAGTGTTTGATTGTGTCTTTGTCGCCACCCTCAGGTTTATGAATGAATTACATCCACGTGACACCGTGGTAACCATAGCAACCACTGAGAGAACGCAGTAAAGACCTCGTGAATGAAACATGACGCAGTGTACAAAAGATTTATTTTACAGTATTTACACAGCATAACAAAAAGATTTACAAAATGTGAAATGAAAAATCAGACGTGTGAACATTCATAACTATGAGTGAGTGATTGTTCTCAGTAACGTGATTCAGCTCATCGTTCAACGCACGGTGTGACAGACCTGTAACAGGTGGAGAGTGACTTATTCAAATGTAATAAGAGACAGGCTACAAGCCTTTACTTACTATTTACTATATCAGACCTGGTCTCTTTTCCTCAGGTCTATATCAGACCTGGTCTCTTGTCCTCAGGTCTATATCAGACCTGGTCTCTTGTCCTCAGGTCTACATCAGACCTGGTCTCTTGTCCTCAGGTCTACATCAGACCTGGTCTCTTGTCCTCAGGTCTACATCAGGCCTGGTCAGACCTAGCAGAACCGCTTTAATTCAGGAACCCACTCCTGGTTTAGAACTTCATTGGAACTAGTTTGGTACCGGGTTGGTCCTGGTTTTAACTATTTCAATTGGTTTAGTCCTTGTTTAGGCTGATTTGGTCCTGGTTCTATCCGTTTTAACTGGTTTAGTTCTGGTTTGGTCCTTGTTTGGATCTGGCTTTGCCCCGCTTTAGTCCTGGTTTCAACTGTTTTAATTGGTTTGGTCTGGATTCAAACTGTTGCCTGGTCTCAGTAGCTGTTTTCGTGTCCGGCAAGTATGTACAGGTTACTGTGTTCAGTCGGGTTGTCTGTCGCCCTGCTCTCCAGAACCACCACCCTGCAGAGAGACAGACAGGTGAGCTGACAGCCCGGTAAACAGAAAGCTAAGCAGACCATGTCAACCGTCAGGGGTCTCACCTGTCAGAGCCCAGCAGGTGGAACATCCTGCTCATGTCACTGATCTCTTGGGTAATCTGCAAAATAAATATTAAAAACAGAAGTTATGACACACAGCTGAGAGGTGGGTGGATTCCTGCTCTCTGATTGGATGATTATTACCTCGTTAGCTCTGAAGTTACGTCCCTGCATGCCGTGACGCCAGAAGGCCAAAACACTGTCCTGTAAACACACTGAGGAAGAGGAGGAGAGAGTGAAAACAAAGACACACCTGGAAATGGGTTCAGGCGGTTTTAAAGGTGGTCTAAGGTGTTTTGTGAGGACCTTTCATGTATGAGGACTCTCAACCTTTTGTGGGCAGAGGACTACCTTCCCACATAAACGAGATAAAAACATAGAATGACAAAAGAAGGAGACATAATAAAGAGAATTCAAGTCTAATGTAATCAGGGTCGTATTTCCTCACCACATGTTTTGGAGCTTTTCCTGGGACAGGGTCGTCTCTCACGTCACATTTAATATGTTGTGTGGAACAATTCAATGAACATATTTGTCAAAAGAACAACAATAACCATTCCCTTTTGTCGTCACTGCATCTTTGCGATTGTTAGCTAGCTAACAGGTTATACAACACGTTTGTCTGATGCCGTGTCGTAGTTGACATGGTGAAATGAATAATTAATAAAATGTAACTGGTCATTGAAATCATGCATTTTAATTTGATGTTTGTAATTCATGTGAATGAATAACGTCCATGGCCCACTGAATGGCACTCTGTGGGCCAGCAGTGGTCCGTGGCTCACTGGTTGAAAGAAGCCGACATAAAGGGTTTACCGATCGACTCTATCTGGAAGTTGAAGGTGAGCTCAGCTGACAGCTTCTTGTTGGACTTCTGCTTCCCCTCAAGGTTTACCATCTTTATACAACCTGAAGGAAGTAGAAATGACAAACACAGCTCTGACACCGTTAGAAAACCTTCATAACAAAACTTTTATCATTAAATTCACTAAGTGATCTTTAATTGAGTGAAACAATAGCATTGAGTTTCATGAACTTACGGTCCAGACAGACCAGGACGATGTCTCTCTCCAGCTGAGTGATGTGGATCACACAACTCTGAGGGTTTTCTGTGAGGAGACCAAAACATTAGACTGCTGATCAGTGGCGGTCCGTCAGGGCCTTCAGGGCCTTCTCTGCTGGTCTAAACAGAATCACAAAGTTATAGCTATTTTATAATCTAATATTTTTTCATAAATACACTACATGTATTATAATATATAATAATATATTCCCATTATCTTATGTTCTCATTGCACAGCTACTGTCTTCCTCAGTTGCTCTGCTTCCAGTGCAGCTTGTTTTAAGTAGAGCTTTTATCCAATCAGATCTCACCTCTGTGTCTCTAGGTAAGAACAGAGGCAGAGGCCTGCAGACTCACAAGTGCATCCATGTGCAGTTTAAGTGAATGGGGACGATATAGTTGATTGTCATAGTGTTCAACCAATCAGATCTTTAGTTTGACATGTTGGGCGTATTCTTTGACGTGTCAGAGCTGCTAGCTGGCCTAGAAGTACGTCAGCATTACGTGCAGCTCAGTTTTAAGGAGCAGCTCTGCAGTGAGGTCCAGCGTGCGCTCTGATTGGTCAGTGGGCGAGCACGTGACTATTGTAAACTGAAACTTAACTTGCCATCAGAGCTTAGTTGGAGGAGTAAGAGTTCAAATTGAAAGATATGGAAGAAGAGGTTCCGGTGACGTCATCGCCCTGAATGGCAGCCTAAAGCGATAGCTTCTCCAGGAAAATAACTGCTACGCCCTGATAAACAATCAAATATTACATTTTTCGAGAATATTCTGGCTGGTAAGTGGGGCAACAATGGGGAAAAAAGGACACAAACAAAAAAAGCAGGATTGGAGAGCCCGTAAATGAAGAAAACACAAAGAACAGCTCACAGACACAGGTACAAGATGGCGGAGCTAATGCTAACTCTCATCCAGATGACACGGCAAGTTTAACGAAAGTTCTGGAAGAAATACGGGACTTTCGCAAAGACACAAAACATCAGCTAAATGATATTTCCTCCGAGCTGGCCAACGTCAACCAAAAAATTGCAGAGGCGGAGACACGGATCGAAAGTGTGGAAGATCAAGTTCAAAACTTGGAACAGTTGCTCGGCAAGATGATAAAAGTGATCAACAGGAAAACAAATTACTTGACCAAGAAGGGAGATCACATCAGGAGAATTTAAGGATTTATAATGTTCCCAAAGGAACGGAGGGGTCATCTATGGTGGAGTTTGTGGAAAAGTTAATGGGTGACACGCTGGAGATCCCCCCCTCCCCTAACTACGGACCTTGGTATTGAGAGGGCGCACCGGGCGCTCGCCCCCAAACCTACCGGGGACAGAGAAGACAAGCCACGGTCAATAATAATCAGATTCCACCGATACAAAATCAAAGAAGAGATTCTGGGCGAGGCCTGGGGAAAGAAAAGAGTGCTTCTGAACGAGAGACTAATATATTTCTACCAAGATTATCCTCCAACGGTTCTGCAGAATCGTAAGAAATATTCTGAAGCAAAGCGAGC